GTACACACCTCACATCTGACGGTGTGCTCTCATGTGACAGTACACACCTCACATCTGACGGTGTGCTCTCATGTGACGATACACACCACACATCTGATGGTATGCTCTCATGTGACGATACACACCACACATCTGACGGTGTGCTCTCATGTGACGGTACACACCACACATCTGACGGTGTGCTCTCATGTGACGGTACACACCACACATCTGACGGTGTGCTCTCATGTGACGGTACACACCTCACATCTGACGGTGTGCTCTCGGGTGACGGTACACACCACACATCTGACGGTGTGCTCTCGGGTGACGGTACACACCACACATCCGATGGTGTGCTCTCATGTGACAGTACACACCTCACATCTGACGGTGTGCTCTCATGTGACAGTACACACCTCACATCTGACGGTGTGCTCTCATGTGACAGTACACACCTCACATCTGACGGTGTGCTCTCGGGTGACGGTGCACACCACACATCTGGTGGCATGCTGCCCAAGTGTCCTGTTTGGGAAGTGCGCCATTCTTTCTGCTCATGTTACTGTGTTGTGGGGAAAGAATTCTGGATGATAATGTGTGTTGTAGGACCTCTGTTTCTAAGGGTCATAGTTTTGACAAACACTGAGTAGCTGGGATTCCAGGCGTGAGCCACAGGCGCCCGGCTATCTTTCATTTTTAAAGGAGCTTTGTACTGATTTTTGCAATGGAAGTATGGTATATAACGGTCCCTTTTCCCTCACCCCCTCCCTCTTTACCAGCATTTGCTGTTTCTTAGCTACGGCCTCTCTGACTTACATTTCCTTTGTGGCTAGGGATGTTGAACATTTCTTCATGTATCTATTGGCCGTTTGTAATTCTTGAGAACTACCTGTTCAGTTAGTTTGCTAAATTATTAATTGGATTATTCTTTTTGTTTAGTTTTTAAATTTTGTATATATTCTTGTTATGAATCCTTTATCTGATGAATATCTGGGAAAGATTTTTTCCCATTCTATAATCTGTCTCCATTCTGGTCACTTAATTGCTTTGCAGAAGCTTTGTACTTTAAGTCAATCCCATTTGTCTATTATTACCTATTTCCTGAGCTGTTAGTGTCTTATTCCTGTATCTCTCACCCAAGCCTTTGTCTTCAATTGTTTTCTGATAGTACCAAAGTTTCAGGTCTTACATTAAGGTCTTTGAGCTACTTTGAACTGATGTTTGCTTGAGGGTCTAGTTTCAACCTTCTAGAGATGGTGGATCAAATTGATTGAGCCTTTGTCAATGATTGGGTGACTATAGCTTAGGGCTTATTTCTAGATCATCTTTTCTATTTCATTGGTACATAGGCCTATTTTGTATGTGTGAGTGAATGCACGTGCCAATACTGGAGGTTGAGCTCAGGTCCTCAAGCTCACTCACCTTGCTCACCACTGGCACTCTACCACATGAGCCACCTCTCCAGCCCAGCATTTTGCTAGTGAGTTGGAGATAAGAGTCTCAAAGGAGTTGCCATTTAACAAAGCAGTTTATGAATACAGACATCTTCCTGGTCACCCCTTCCCACATTCTCACCCATCCCTCTACCCACCCTTCCCTCACTCGTAATTCTGTAGGGTACGCATTCTCCCCTCTTCTCTTTTCATTTGTCCACCCCTCTCCCCTTGACCTCACCCCAGCCCTTTCAGCACCAACCACTGGTGCTAAACTTGGACTTTGTCAGGAATTTCGCAATTTGAGTTCTCCCTTGAATCTGCGGCATTTCAGTTAATACATATGCATACACTTGAATATGCCACTCAGTGTAATTAGGAGTTTGTAAGCTAAATCTGGCTTCCACATCTAAGGGAGAACATGGATCCTTTGTCTCTCCAGGCTTGACATCCTTCACTTAATTTTTCTCAGGTCTTTCCATTTCTTTACAGATGGTACAATATCATTCTCTCTAATGAATGACTGAGGGCCTCTGGGCTGTGGTGGATGGCGCTGCGCTGCACATCGCCTGGCTGACTCCAAACTGCACGCTACCTCTCAGCACTCAGCCTCCTGAGTGGACAGGGCTACAGGCGTGAGCCACCGGCGCCCGCGTGTGCCCAGTGCCGTGTTTTCATTATTATGGCTCTGTAAAGTGATTTGATGTTAATGTAATCTTTCAGACGTTACTTTTTTCTCAGAATTGTTTCTGTAGTCTGGAGCTCTCAAGCTTCCATATTGTTTTTTATTTTTATTTTTCTATTTCTGTGAAGAATGCATTGGGATCCTGCTTTGGATTTTTTTGCTTTCAGTAATACAGCAATTTTTACAATATTAGTTTTCTAGTCCATGGGCATGAGAGGTCTTTCCATCTTCTAGTGTTTTCTTTAATTTCTCCATGTTTCAGAGATTTTTGTGGTAGCAGTCTCTTGTTTTCTTGGTTAAGCGTATTCTTGTGTTTTGTTTGCCTTGTTTATTGCCCTAAGCAATAAGAGTAAGAGTAGGGAGAGGGGACGATCCTAGAGAAAGTGCTTTCAGTTTCCCCTTTTTTAGAATGACGTCTGCTGTGTAGACTGGTCACGGAAAGCCTTTCTATGTTGAGCTCTATTCCTTCTGTCCCTTTCTCCCTTCTTGTGCTGGTCCTGAGCGGTGAGGTTACAGGTGTGGGCCTGGTACCTGGCTGATCTGGGGGTCTTCTGTGGGGTGTGGGCCTGGTACCTGGCTGATCTGGGGGTCTTCTGTGGGGTGTGTCTCAGAGAGGGGGCGGGGGCGGGGGCGGCAGGCTCCACACACACAGGGAGCGGCCCATTCACACCAAAAGGGAAATGGGAAGAAACAGTCTTTTCCTGTAGTCTTCACATAAAATTATGCATTTTTGTTCTATTTCTAGGGGACTCCTTCTCACAATTCCGGTTTGTTGAGGAGAAAGAATGGGAAGGTGACACCTCCTGTCCAAAACAGGTAAACAAGTCTGTGTTGAGGGCTGCCCCTGGGAGGCCAGCCCGTGTGTGTGTGTGTGTGTGTGTGTGTGTGTGTGTGTGTGTGTGTGTGTGTGTGTGTGTGCGTGTGCATGCATGTGTGTGTGCATGCGTGTGTGTGTGTGCATGCGTGTGTGTGTGCATGTGTGTGTGTACTGTACACATTTTCAGGGAGTGGAAATTGCACAGGCCCTTCAAGCTTGAGTTCTCTCTTATGTCTCTGTCTGGTCCTGTGTGTGACTTTCTCATAAGCCAGACTGTGAGATAACAAGGTGATGATGTAGCCAAGTAAATTACTCTGCCATTTGGCTGTTTCCTGGCCCCGTCTGTGGCCGTTCGCCTTAGAGGTGACACTTAGCTTTGTTTCCCCCCTGCTTCCTTACAGTTTTGTCCCTCTGCCCCCCAAGCCCATCCTGGGGCTGGGTGCTGGTCCTGCACTGTTTTTGCTCAGTGGAGCTCTCCTTCCATGTTGTCTTTGTCTTTGTTTGTAATTTATTGGAGATGAGTCTTATAGACTTTCCTGCCTGAGCTGGCTTTGAACCTTGATCCTCAGATCTCAGCCTCCTGAGTAGCTGGGATGTCAGGCGTGAGCCACCGGTGCCTGGCTTTAACTTGTAGTTCCACCTGCTCTACAATTAGTAAGATAAAGCACAGCTATTACAGAAGTCTTTCAACTCTGTGCTCAGGCCTCCCTGGCTCTGTGTTCCTACTGCAGTTCTTCCCCTTTGAAAAGGTACAGTTACTGATGTCCCGTCCTGCGCTCTACAGTCAGAACGCTTGGCCTGGCAAAGTGAGGTGGCCCTCAGCAGCCAGACAGGGGTCTCCCCTCCCCTCCCTGCCCCTCCCCGCTCCACCCCTCCCCTCTCTGCCCCTCCTTGCTCTGCCCCTCCCC